TATATATATATATATATAACTCTGATTAGTGATAGTGAAAGTTATTTATAAATTAAAGCTATCTTAGATATCTAAGCTTTTAAGCAAGATGCCTAGTCCCCTGAAAGACTGACTTGTTCTGGACAAGTTCCAGAGATCAGGATAATTAGTGCTGACATTAGTAAAAACAACATGAATGATATTTTGGAGACCTCAGAAGGAGCAGGGTTAAAATCTGTCCATGACAGTACAGTGGTAGCTGTCACGTTTCTGCTGAATTAAGACTTATCAAAGGCTTTCCACGTTTGTGGTGTTCTGCATTAGAGGCAGAAGTCATTTTCTCCCACAGAATTACAGAAATGGCATCTTAAAAAAAGCTATTTCCCTTTTCTTCATGAAAGCAGCCAGGAAGTAACAATGCCCTGTTTGTTCTCACTCCACCATAAGCCAATCACTCTTCCTGTGGCTTACATTCATCTTTCCTTCCACGAACCTCATGTGTGACTGAAGATCAGGAGAGGTCTCCTGTGGACTTTCCTGATAAAGCAACATTGTCATTTCAAATATAGCCTAGTAATATCAAAACCTTTGATTGCTTCTAGCTTTCATAAAGTTTATTTGCATTTTTCCCCAAAAACCTTTGTAGTAGCAAATTCCATAACAGGTCATTTTAAAATTGCAACGGATAATTTTGTTTAATGCCACAAATATCCAAGCTTTGTATAAAAATATTATGCCTAACACAATGAAGTAAAGAATGAGAGAAGGAAGGAAAAGGCAAATAAGATGCTTGATTTAAAAGGATAAGAAAGATGTGTCTGTGCAGAAGCTTATTCCACAAGGAAAATGGATTTGAAGATAGAAGATAACTTTATAATGGATAAAGTTAGTGGGAAAAGAGATGTTCTGCAGGAATTAATTTTAAAATGACAGATAAGGCAGAGGACCCACTGGGAGCACCTCAGTGAAGAACAGTGCATTTGTTCTACCCGTGCTATATCTGGAAGCAGATACAACATTCACGTTGGCTGTGCACCAGCAAACAGGTGTACCATAGATATCAGTACATGCCCAGCACAGAACTAAAGAAGCTGCATTCCTCATATGTCACTTTAAGCCTAAGGATTTTTGTGGTGAGATCTTTTATTGGACTAACTGTATAGTTGTGAGGGACGTAGATGCTTGTTCCTCCCAGCTGTGCAGTTGGTCTGATAAAAGATAAGTCACCCACAAAATTCCTTGACTATCATTTTTTTCTGGATCATCATAGCTATAACAACAGCCCACTCTACTATTTTATGACTAAATCAATCGTATAGACATGCTCCTAATTTCATCATCTTGCCTGGTTATAGTGTACTAAAGACAAAGCCAAGCCAAATACAAAGCAAATATCCACACTGTGAATTCTAATAAATGCTACCAGCTAGCTCATACAGTTATATTTTATTTACAAAGCAACTACCATTTCCAGGCTTTGTGCATCTTAATATGCACTACCTGTCTTTTCGGCAACTATCAGAAAGTAATGTACAAAGAAATGAGGATCGCTTTGATAACAAAAATGGGCAGATTTTTTAAGGTACTCACAAAAGTGTCACAGTATTTTATTGAAATGTCTCGTGTGTTTAATCTTCAGCTGCAGTCCTGATCTAAAATACGAAAAAATACAACTGAAGTAATTATTTTGGCCCCAGACACAAAGTTACCTTAAATCATTCTTTAGATGCAGTTATCCGGAGGATCAGACATCTAACAATTATACAGGAAAAAGTATGCTTATCCATGTACCTCCTGGTGGGATGGTGCAAAGCTCCTGTTAGATACAATATACGGCATGGAGGTGCAATAAGATTTATGTTCCCTGGAGCATGATCAGGAGACGACATTCAAGCCTGATAATCTCCTGTTAGTTTTCCATAAAGAGTAAAGAATGTAATGCACAAAAACTGATACAAGATCCCCCAGGGACTCTAGCCATACCTACGTTCTGATCACCTATCAATGTTTAATCATTCATGGTGTACACAATGGAGAGCTAAAAGATGTGAATAAATGTACATGGGACACCTGTGATTGAAGGGACTGTGCACAAGTGTGGGAGTCAGGCAAACTGGATTCTATTCCCAGTTATGCCACAATGTAGTGGTATGGCCTTCGGTACGTCCCATCAGTGATGCCGTAGGGTTGTTGGGGCCCTCAGCAGGAGAGTCATTTGGGGCCCCTTAGAGGCTTAATTATAATGACCTATGTATCGTGAATCTTTTTAATATTCTTTGGGGGAATTTGATAAATAGTCAAGTGTTAAAATGCAAATAGAGCCACTTCCTTGCAAAAACTTCACCCCCCCCAAACATTTGTTGCAAAATTTCAGGGCCCCCTAAAGTGTGGGGTCCTGGGCGGTTGCCCAGTTTACCCTCCCCTAAGGCCACTACTGGTCTCATATTCTCCTCTGTGTACAAAGTTCCCCCATGTGTAACAGGCTTACTCATCTTTGTGGAGCATTTTGTGATTTACAGCTGAGCAAGCACTATGTCAATACAAACGGTGTTTTGGTTTTTAGAGATTCTCTGCTAATTTCTAAACTTTGACTTCTATCATGGATGTATCTGCCTCTGTATTTGTTTCAATTTTCACACCAGTTATCTATAGCAAAAAGTTATTTTAAACAATTCAGAGTCTGCATAATCTCAAAAGCTATCACTTTACTCTTCTACCTCCCTTCCTGCCATCCCACAGCTATCACTGTGTCCCTCTACCCTCCTCCCCCATGACACACAAACTGGAGGTGCAAGAGCAGCACCAGAAAGAAACCTCATAAACAAAAGCCTAATCTAAATCCCACTGACATCAACAGGAATCAAGAGGAATATGGATAAGCTTCAGGCTCAGGTTTTCCACCACCACATGCACACTCAAAAGTAGAGGTGTGATCACAATGGCTCTGTTGTTATACTGAATGCCAGAGCCAAAGACAATGGCAAAAAAATTAAAACAGAAAGTCACCAACAGTGTTTTCAATAAGGAACTCCATCACATTTCAGTTTTGCAGGCATGTGAGATAAAGCAAACACTTATGCATTTTGCTGAGTAAGGATGTGATTGCTCACATGGCTACATTTAAATACACACATAAGTGCTTTGTTGAATCAAGGCAGACCAGTTTTTTGTTTTTTTGTTTTTTTTGAGTAGATGCGATATCTTTTATTAGACCAACCACGTAGCCGTAAAAAAGTTCTTAAAAAGCTTTCAGGCACAAACACCCTTCTTCAGACATAGGGAGTCGCTGCTGTACTGAGACTCCAAGGAACGAGAGAAGCTGAAAGTGTGGCAGGATGTCAGTGAGAATGTAAATAGGTAGAAACATTGGTGATGCATAGGGAGTGCTTGCGGGTGCATGTGCACCCCCTGAGATTGGCCGTGCCCCCCCAAGAGAAGTGCCAGCAGCAGCAATCAGCTGTTGGGAAAAAAGGGGGGGCTAATGGGACTCAGCCCCTTCAAACACCAGGGCAACCTGGCCGCAGGCTGCTGCAGCAGGGGAGAGGGGTGCTCCAGGCTCACAGCCAGCCCAACACAGCAGGAGGGTAGGTAAGCTTTCTTTCTTTAGTTTCTGGGTTTGGGGTGGGGAGGGGAAGAGATCAAGACCCCCACAGTGCAGGAGGGAGCGGGGCAGGGCCAAATCATTCACCCCCACCCCTGCTGTACTGTGGGGGTTGTCCAATGACCCAGCCCAGCCAGAGCCCCATTCCCTGTGAACAGGGCCCTGGCTGGGCTGGGTCATGAGGCAGGGGAGCCCGGCAGCTCCCACCACTGTGCTCACTGCTGAGGAGCGGCTGCACATTCCCCCAACCCCTTGGCTCCAACGTGCTGTGTCCCTGGATGAGCCACTGGGCTCTGATTGTCCCACGACCCGGCCTGGTCAGGGCCCAGTTCCTG